CATGGCCTTCGGCCATGTGGAACTGGTTAACCCGTGCAAATTTAGTTATTTTCTACAACCCATACAATAACTATAACAAATTTGGCTGGCATTAATTCGCCCGAATTCAATAAACTTTTGATTTTGGCATTTACTGTATAAGTCTTTACGCAATATAAATATTATTCACATTAGCGCTTATACCAGGAACGAATACATATGAGAGTATAGTTTATATGGCATATGGAGTAGCCTCGCAAATCTTGAAATTGATTGGTCCACATGACTTATTCTTCATGCTTTGTTTATTTTTCACTTATCATTTCACGACAGCTTATATCTATATCTGTTGTTTTAAATCAATATACGTACGTATTTATGTACGACTTTAATCCTTATTGCTTTTCCCCGTGATTTCACTATTGCTGCATGTGGTTTTACATGTGAGGAACCAATGCGACTAGATGCATAGCTGAAATTACAAATGCCATAACAAACGATAGTAAAATCATTATTTTAGACACAAGTATTTGTGGCCCGATTCGCGTGCATCTATGTGCCCACTGCCCGATTTGGAAATCATGCTTTTTATCCAATCAGTGTCTGTCACATCGAATTTACATGAACGATCAGTGTGTAACGTTAAAATTACGTATTTTTTAAAAAACCGCCTTTATCTTGAAATTTCGCTTATGAAACTATTTTCTGCGTTTTAACAAAAAAAATTCCTTGCGAAATTTTAGTATAGGTTCTCTTTTACAGCCTTATCCTTACCTTAACACTAACCCTAACACTAATTTGACGGTATTTTTTAAAAAAACTATATAAATATAAACAACGACGATCATTTCCATTTTAGGCGGTGGGTACATAGATGTATCCATTTTACAATACTTGATCAGTCTGCTAGCACATGTTATGATTATAATAAAATGGTGTTGGATTATAATCATAACATGTACTAGCGGACTGATCAAGTATTGTAAAATAATTTTTTTATGTGTTGCACACCGTGTGTAAAATCCAGAAAATCAGTTGCATGTAACATCAACGTTTCCTCCTGTTGCAATAGCATCATACTTTTGGGATCGCCCTGATGAACTCCATCATTCGGGGATGGCTAAAGCCAGGTATATCACGGGATTACCCGATTTTTCTGATTTTTAGGGTTGGGGTTAGGGATGTTAACGACTCGACTCAAGTCGATAACTTTTAACTTTAAGTTGATAGTCATTTCAAGTCGACTGATATACAGAGTCAGTCGACTCAAGTCGATATGTAAGGAGGTTATACAATAGATTAATTTTATCCAATTAGCTGCATAAATCCTTAACAAATATGTATAATAATCTATTATCTATTTAGAGAATTTATTCAATATATTAAAATTTTTCTATTCGAATGATAGTAATAGCACCAAGACATTTATCTATTTAGAGAATTCATTCAATATATTAAAAATTTTTCTATTTGAATGATAGTAATAGCACCAAGACATTTATGTATTTAAAGAATTACCAATATTAAAAACTTTTGTTTAAATAATTTGTCAAAATAATCGATATTAAAGGCAGTAACTAAATTTTAAAAAATTCTTTGCCCAAAAAATCTAATAATATCTAAATCATAAAAGATATTTTTCATCAAAAAAATTCAATAATATTTAAAAGAAATTAAATAATTTAATCGTACATAGCCAGTTTTTTATAGACCTTTTTAAATGTGTATTTTTAAAAATTTTTAGTCATGAATAGATGCGATTAACTGTATATAAGTATGTTTTCTGTTTTTTTTTTAACAAAATGGATGAAAATTTTGAGGAATTCGAAGATGATAACGACTTAGAAAAATATATTGCTAAAATTGAGGCAATTGAATTAGAAAATACTTTAAATACGAATATGAATATTAATACACAAATACCTGAAATCAAAGAAGCTAATACTGAAAACTTAGATCGATATCTGGTTATATGTAAACAAAAATGATCCTAAACGTCGTTATTGTTTAATATGTAACTTCATATTTTCACCAAAAACTAGTACATCAAGTATACGAGATCACCTTGTTAGGCATAATCTATTAACTTAAAAAATTCTTATTAAAACATATTCTAAAAAAGCACAATTAGAACAATTAATACTTTTAATTAAATGGATTATTAAAACAATGCAACCTTTTTCTGTTGTAGACGATATTTCATTTCGTGATCTTTTGAACAAGTTTGATCCCTTATTTGTAATTCCAAAGCGTCAAGCAATATATGACAAAATAATTGACATGTTTACAACACAACGGCCTAATATTAATTTAATAATTAATGATATTTCAAGAAAGGTTTCAATTACAACGGATCTTTGGGCTAATCTAAAAATGGAATGTTTTATCGCACTTACTATTCATTTTGTTAATAGCAACTAGAAATTATGTCACTTTACTTTAGATATTACAAAGTTTCAAGGATCATATATGAGTACAGCAATTAGTAATTATATATTAAATGTTTTAGATGAATTTAATTTAAATTCAAAAATTATAACTATTACAACAGATAATGGGTCGAATATAGTTTTAGCATGTAACAAAATAAAACAACAACTTAATTCTAATAATGATCTTAATAGATTTTCTCACTATCGCTGTATATGTCATATATTAATCTTGCTGTCAATAATGGGCTAAAAAAAGTAGATCTATTAATTAAAAAAGTACGTCAATTAGTAAAAACAATATAAAATTCATATTCATATTTAGAGGATTTAGAACGATATCATTTAGTAGATCAAAAAAATTTCCTTCGACCAATTCTTGATGTAAAAACTCGTTGGAATTCGACTTTTATTATGCTTCAACAGGTTCAAATCCTTAAAGAGTATCTAGATATTATGGCTATACGTCATAAATTATTACATAACTTATACTTGTCTCAAGATGAATGAAACCAAATCCAAGATCTTATAAGCTTGTTAGAACAATTTTATCTAGCTACAAAAGAATTATCATATCAAAATTATCCTACTATTGCCTATGCACGCATAATTTTACTTAGTATCTGTTCAGATTTAGAAACTTATAGTAATGAAAATAGTTTACTAAAAGAAGTTGCTCTTTCTATTTATAATAAATTGCAGGTTTATTGGGAGTATATTGATGAAATTTCACATGTAGCTGCGTTTTTAGATCCATGTTATAAGAGATATTGTTTTCTGGGAAAAACAGTTAAGGAAATTCTTAATCCAATTCAGCGTAGGCTTCCTGCAACAAATTTAAATATAACACCTGTTCCAAAAATGTCAATATTTGTAACCCGATTAACTCAACATTCAGTAAATTATTCAACACAAGTAGATGAAATACAACGTTACTGGAATTTACCTCCATATGATAATAGTATCGATCCTTTAACATGGTGGAAAATGCACCAAACTGAGCTCTCATTATTATCTAACCTTGCACAAGATTACTTGTCTGTACAAGCAAGCTCAGTTCTGTGTGAGCAGTTGTTTTCAATAGCTAAAATGGTTATTAATAAAACAAGAAATAGATTATCAAGTGAAAGTGCACAGGCATGCTTGTGCTTAAAGAGTTAGATGGATGAATATATTAATATTTTATATAAATAGATTTTAATCTAACAATTGGGTTGTGACCCGAACTTTTTTTTTTGAATTATATTATTATATAGTTTGGATTTAGAATCAGGATTTTTACTTTATTATTTTATTTGAAATAATAATCAAAAATTCAAACACATTTATTCAATAATGTCAAATTCAAAAACCAATCAAATTTGTTAAATCAAGGCTATAATTTACT